GGGGACCGTAAGCTCTCTGAGCTGTTGACTCTCTGAGTCGGGTTCTCTGAACCACCCTTTAAGCTCTCTGAGCTGTTGACTCTCTGAGTCGGGTTCTCTGAACCACCCTTTAAGCTCTCTGAGCTGTTGACTCTCTGAGTCGGGTTCTTTGAACCGAAGTTGCTCATTGAGCGTAAAGTCTTCCTCTGACTTAAGGAGCTGTGTAGCTCCGCTACAAGCGACGTATTCTTCGTACGCTTCATTTGCATGAAAACATGCGAAGAGCAGGAAATCTCGATCTTCTTCACCGATGAGTTCGCCGCAGTCCCGCTACACGCCATCGCTCTAGCTCTAGACACACAGGCAGCGCCGTGTGTCGACCTCCTCGACAACTTGCCCGCTCAACCAGGGAACATCGCAGTCAGATTCGGCCCTGAAACGGCGCTGCTCGACGTTATCGACCACCCAGAGGCTTCCTGCGGCGTCCAAGCTGCTTCTATCTCAGGTACAGACAGCTCGCCACCAATCCACAGCCACGTCAATCGCCTACTCGACCGCATCGCCACTAGATCTCGGGTAGAGCAGGAGCTTACGTCACTCTCCTTCCGTCGTGGCGATGCACAGCACGCGAATATCAGCGCAAAGCTCGCGGCGCGTTGGATCTTCAACCGCGGTGCTTGGAACATGAGTACGACAAAAAAAGCGTTTAGCTGTGTGTCTAAAACCATGAACGAGGACCACAAGGTTGCGAAGGTGTCAAGTGGCTGGAAGCTGAGCGAGTCCTGTCGCTCACCGACTTAATTCTCTTCGATGCTCAGACCCAGGACAGTATACGAGAGGTGCAGGCGATGCTGTTCGCAACCTGTCAGACCCTCAGCGAAAAGAAGTTCAATGTCAATCAGCGCGTCTTCGGCGTGCTAACCGCGTACCTGGTAATGCATTTCTCGCCTTTTAAAGAGGCAAACCCCAACGGGCGAGCTGTAAAGCGCTTGGAAACTTGCTTGATGGAATCCGGTCGCGCCCTTGATGAATTGCTCGCATGGCCCACGCATCTCACAACGTCTCCCTGTGCAATTAAACATAAATAAAAGAAGAAGAAATATCCAAGAATTCAAGTATAGAGTCTGAAGAATGCAAACCCATTCGCCACCAAGTTTCTATCATTGATCACTTTATCCGACATGCAAGACGCCTAGACGAGCGCATGGATGCGCTAGTAGATAAGCTCGACGAAGCGCGGCCTTCAAGAAAAAACTAGCACAGAGAGGAGGATGAAAACTTCTGCAAATCTTACAAAGCACAGAAATCAGTCGTCGCTAAGTCACCTTCACTCAGTGTGATTCGAGTGGTACGCATGTGACCCGCGCTTATGGAGCACCCACGGTAAGAAGCAGAAGAAGTCGGACTTGAATCTGCTCGCTTCTTTCTTGAAGCTGTTTCTTGAGACAGGCTTCACGCTGGACAAGCAAATATCGACGTAACGCGACGACGTGTTGGCGATCGTCTTTTAGGCAAAAGTAAATGTCTTTGTATTCTTCGGCGAGCGCGGCATCCATTTTAAAGGCGTTAATGCGGTGCTGAAGCAGATGCGCGCTCCTTCGATCCAGCGAGCTAAATGGCAGCATCTAGCGCTACAGAAGTTATCTCTGGTCTGGCGCGATCGTTGATCCAGTTCCGGAATACACACAAGATATTACTGAAGAATTGTAAGGCAAGGCAGTTAAGAAAAAACGCAGCTAATTCCTTCCATCCATAAACTGATGATAAAGAACACATTTGCACGTACAAAAGCAGAAAAATGATTTGTGGTCTACAATTAGAATACATGATATGTACGGTGTACCAGAAGTAAACCATTTGTACGATACGTCGGAAAATCGGACTTTTCATGGTATGGGCCATTGTAACGGTGTAGCCCGTTACATGAAATTCATCATTGTGCGGAATGGTGATAAAGAATATAAGGAATAAAAAATGCCCCATTTAGCAACGAAAATATAAAAAGGCCGAGATAACTGGAAAATATAAAAATATCCCATGTCCTAGTATACTAAAGTACCTCTCATGTCGAGATAAGGATGCAGCCACACTTTAATTAAATCAAGGGTAGCACATCGATACAAAATCTGGTTCTGGGTATGATAGTTCTCAACGCAATTTGTATGAGCACGATGCAACCTACTCTAAACCCTCACAATAGGTGCTGGCAAACCAGAGTATAAGTTGCTTTTATCCCATCGTTATTATAAAACGTGCCATTAGTATTAAACGTAGCTCGGTAGAAGCAGCTCCACACTCGTCTTTTTCTAGCTACACACACGCACAACTACACTGTCCGTCATTTGAGCACCAGCACGCGCGTGTTGCGGGCATTAGTACTTTAACCCCATTCACTGCAACGACTGCATCTCGTGCCTTTACCTCTGCCACACTCGACTGCATCCTCATCTGCGGCTGCTGCGGCTAGGAATCGATTTTAGACTGCGACTCGGAGTCCGACTGCGACTCAAACTACGCCGGCTTCAGAACGGACTTGGCAAGCGTTGACGTCGCCCGCTGCGGAATGGTGACGGGCCACGTCGACGCATAAACGCTCGTGAGCGCAAAAATGCGAACCCACAGGTAGAACAACATTTATAACAACCGAAGCACCTACAACAACATCAGCAACAGAAACAGCAGTAGCAGCATAAACTGAGCAACAAATGCAGCAACCGCAGCATCCACAACAGCAGCAGCATTTACAACAACAGCAGCAGCAGAAACAGCAGTTGCAGCATCAACAATAGCGACAACAAAACAAAATCATTAACATTAATATAAACTACATCAGCACCGACGGACTGTGTTGACGGCCGTGACCAATGATACGAACACGAGTTTACGTACCTATATCTCGCGTCTGCGCCTGCAACTGGTGGCTGCAAGCGCAGCACGCCCGCGGCAGAACTCTCTCCGCGGCTTCTTAAACAGGGCAGGGGTTGGTCACGGCTGTAAAATGGAAAAACGAAACTGATTAAAAACGTGTGGTTTATGTGTGCCACATTAACTTGTTTATACTAGGACGTGTGGTTTTATGTGTACTACATTAAGTTGAGTATACTAAGGACCAATTTTTATTATTCTCGCGATTAAATGGGGCATTTTTATTAATCTAAGTTATTAAATAGCAGAGTTGGGGGATAGGGTTGAAGCAAAGGGAGGTACACGTGTTCACCTCCAACGTGGTCGTTAAAGGTCATACCCGCACAGACATCCTCCGCAAGGCAATCTATATGGAGAAGCAGAGACGTCCAAACCTCACCCAAGAAGCTCTGTGTCGGTAGATTATGGATGAGCATGGAGTCAAGTTCACCCAAGGGATAATCAGCAGCAACCTGAAGCGTTCTGCAGAACTTTTACGTCCAGCCAAGAGCGATGCATCCCTTCAATCCAAACGACAGCGTGTGGTTTCGTACCCGCGGGTAGAAACGGCGCTTGCTCGGATTATTGAGTATCAGGGTGTTGTCAACATCAGCAGACACATGGTCCAGGGAAAAGCGGTACCGTTCATGAAGACGCTGTATCCAATCGTCAAGGATAGGGTGCACCCGCATTATCAATCGATTAGTTGCAGAACTTTCAAAATCGCCACGACATCCGCATGCACCGTCGCTTTGGCGAAAGCGGATCGATGGACGTCGAAGCATTGGAGGATCGCCTGCCGGAAATCCGCGCTCGATTGGAACAGTGCAACGCTGCCGATTCCTACATCATTAAGAGACCGGCCTGTTCTACTGAATGCAGACCGATTCATCACTTTCGATACTCCATATGGACGGTTAGAAGCAGAGCAAAGAGCAAATGACGATGACAATCTGCAGCAACGCATCCGGATCCGACAGGTTTCCGCTGTGGGTCATCGGAAAGTTCTTATACCCACGCTGTTTCAAAAACGTGGACCGCAGAAGCCTAGGCGTTGCCTCTCATACCAACAAGAAAGCGTGGATGAATCGAAATGTGCTCAAACTATGATTGGAAGCCTTCGCCAAACACGTTGCCGGTCACAAGGCCATTCTTATCCTCGACAATTGCTTCGCTCACATCAAAGAGGAGGATTTGGAACACGCTGAAATCACTGCAGAATACAACACTGTTATATTTGCCTCCCAATGCGACCAGCAATATTCATCCCTGAGACGATGGAATTATGCGCATCTTTAAGGCATGCTACCGCAAGCGCTTGAACCGCCAGCTCCTGGATCGCCTTAAGAACAATTAGCCGGAATCAGCAAACATCAACGTCTTGCAGGCGATTATGCTGGAGCATGCAGCATGGACTCTGGATGTGCAGTCTTAGTGCATTAGCAACTGCTTTGCGCACTGCAAACCTCGCACCTCCGACATGTGCAACTCTGCAAACGCCAACGTGGACGTCCCGCATGCGGTCGTTGCGAACCTTCAGGGACAAATTTAACAACTTTATTGCAACCCTATGTCCATGAACTTCCTGCTCAACTATCTCGACGAAAAGCAGGTGAGCTAAACTCCGACAGAGGCAAATATTCTCGAGCGCGTTCAATTGCCGAAGTCATCACGTGACAGCTACATCAAGGAAAGAAATAACGTAGCCGCACCTTCCGTCCCGCTTCAGAATGCTGCATCGATGCTTGCAAAGCTCAAGGTTTTCTGGTTACAGCAGGATACTGGAGATGAGTTCTCATGGATGGCTCAACAGATGCAGGATCAGGTAAGAATTGTGTTTTAGCAAAAATCCCTTTAGGACCAATCTCTAAATAATTTTTGTATTCATCCCCCGGCAGTAGTTTAACATTTGTAGGAGCTATATTGGTACCCACCCTTTGATGCGTACACACACCTGCAACTGATGCCCCTTCTTTAGTTCCGTGACCTCTTTAGCTAGGTACTGCATACTTATTCATACAAGATGAAATATAAACATTCTTTGCTTTGTGCACACCCCTCCCTTATACAGAGATCTTTCGTGTCAGTACATAGCCTTGCGAATGACTATCGCTCTCATTATCCAGCTGCCCCCTATAAGTGCCCCTGATACTACTACAGTCTTCCCTCTGCTAAGTTTCCCCGGCTACGGAATAACCTCCGGTAAGTTATAGGATTCGGTCTCCACCGACCTCGTTCTATGGTGACTACGGAATGAGTTATACGGAATAGCCTGAGGGCCAAATACAACTATCAGAGGGAATATTTTTGTCCGCCGTGAGCAGAAATATTGTACGCAGAACCTTTTTTTGTTATTCACTGCAAGAAAGGAGTGGAAAGAGGAGAGGAAACTACTTCAGCCAGGAATCAAGTGTGGCCTGAGTGGTGCTCGCACTACGGAGATCAGCTTGGACTTGGCGAAGGGTGCGGTGAGCTATACGACGGGACTCCTGAGAAAGGTCGAGAAGGGCGATAGATAGAATAAGGCTGGCAAGCTTTTCAGCCTTCAAATGCTTTTCCACCTCCTCCTCCGCCTCAGCAGCACCTTCCTCCTCCCCATACGGATCCTTAACAAGCTTGATGATTTCGGCATCGGTCAGCTCCGCATGCGCCGTCCCTCCTCCTCAGCCGGATTGAAAAGAGAAGCGATCGACATGGGATTGCGGAGCGAGCCTTTCCAGCGCCGAAACAAGATCCTGTTCCACGCGCTTCTCCTCTACTGCAGCAGCTGTTGCCTCCTGCTGGGCCTGCTGGCCAACAGTGCCGGCTTCGTTTTCACCCCCACCAGTCGGCAGAGCCGGACCGTCCATGAGTCCCGTATGACGGAAGCAGTTGGCGATTGTGGCACTGGAAATCTC